TCATACTTTTAATATCCCGAAAATTGTTAGGTTCTTAATTTTTATCGTGGTATAGAATTTTTTGTGACATTTCCCCGATAATGCGTATAAATATATAGTAATAATCTACACTTATTTAATCGTATTATGAAATTAAAGTTTGGCTCATTATATAATATATGTATACATTTTTCGTTTTCGTCTCCTCTTATTGCGTTTTAGTACAATAATGATAATAATATTTATATATTTATACGCGTTATAGATCACTCACGTCCGTATCGTCCAGGAACGAGAAAACGTCCAATTTGTCCATGCGCACGGTGCCCTGGAACGGATAAATGAGCGTTCCCCTAGGCACGTTCACGTTGGTCATCACGGTGATTTCCGGTTCCGCGTGACGATGATGATGATGTCTCTTGTTATTGATGGACCTTTGCATCGCGTTGGCCGCCGGCACGGGCAGTACGGCCTGCAACGACAGCTCTTTCGGTATGAGCACGCACGTTTCCATCGCACCGCTTACAGTTATTAGTGTATTATGGTAAAACACGATAATTCACGCCGATAGTTCACAGATAATAATATCGCGGTTTCGCGTTAAATCTCGGAGAAGGGAGGGGGCGCGAGGGGAAAAACAATGACGAGAAAATTCGTTAATTCAACAATTATCAACATTGGTGTCCATGACGCGAGCTCGCGTATAAACGTGCGAATGTTATAACGTCGGGAGGGAGGGGGTGGGCGCGCGTAAAAAAACAAAACAAAAATCACGAAAAACGAAAACGCGCACTGTTATGATATAAACCCGGAAAACCGTTGTTATTCGGTGCGGTACTACGATAATATATGCGGAGATTTGAGCGCACGGCCAAGACGGCGACGACGACCGCGACTACCGTAAACACACCGCGCTTGTAATACGACTACTACTACTGAGCTGTTGCTGCTGCTTCAGGTATATCGGCGCGAGACGTCGGTCGACCGGCTATTGACTACTGAAGAAGTGCAAGGCCGCGCGGCCGCGGCGGCGACGGCGACGACGTCCGGAGAGCACGTGGGCATTACCCCGGAGGGCAAGACGGTGGGCGCGGACACCGGCGGCCAATAGACGGCCCGGGACCGGTTGCCCGCGTCTTGGCCAATCGCGCGACGCCTTCCGTCGAGATCTCCGCGTAGCAGCCGCCGCCGCCGCCGCCGCCGAATAATCGAATATTAAGACCGGGCCTGTAACCTTTGTAATATTATCATTATTATTATTATTGTTGTTGTTATACCACCTATACCGCGCGTATAATAATATTATAATATACACGAGACGTACGACGACGCATAGCGTATCATCATAATATACGTAATATTATACGCGTATAGTCGTTGTATTATTATCATAACATCGATGATAGTAATAAATAATAATAATACGTGAGCCCGTATATATACACTACCTATTATTATTTTATGATTTTTGGCGATCGCTACCGGTCTTCCCCGTCGCCGCCCCGGGCTGAGATAATTATTTTCATATAAGTATTAGATATTTTATAATATGTATTGTATGATAATTATTACCGGAATAATATTATAATACGACCCCGAGCATCAGCGACGTATTAGAGGGGGGCGAGAGACTACGGTGAGCATCAACCTTCATCTCCGCCCCCATTATAGTCAAAATTCAAAAAACAAAGAAAGCAGAAACTGTTATATGGAATGTATATATCTCAGCCAAATAAATTTTAAAGAAACGCTGGATTTATTGAATGAAAAATTGACTTTTTTCGGATTAGCCTTTTAAATACCCATAGTCTAGTCGGGTAACAAAAACGGTTCAATGATCCGTTTACGATTGTTATTTGCTACAACATATTGTTATCCCGCATTGAAAATTCCCGGGCGTATTACTGTCGACACTATTTGCCACTGTCTGAAAGGAAATGCGGAGTGTTCTCCCATGGCCTTTTTTTTTTCGTGTCAAACAATGGTTATTGACGTAAAGTTAAATTATTTTTATTTATTTATTTTTTATCAATATAAAAAATAACTGATATTCTGATGGGGGAATTATTATTATTATAAAGAAATTATAGTTGACATTTTATGTTTTTGCTCCTTGAATAATTTGCACAATTTTTTGTGCAACTGATCAATGATTTATTAAGCCATTAAATATTCCACAAGCCATTAGTTAATCATGATTTAAATGTATATTGAATGATTTTAATGCGACCCGGCATTTTGTTTGCAGTGATTTACTTTTTATTATGTTTTTATACTAATATATATTAAAAATATTGTTCGGACGAACTCGCTATAATTAGGAAAAGTTAGACCGAGAAAAAGTTATATTATTTTAAACGATTATGTTTACGGAACAAATTCGTATGATAACTGTTATTATAACGCGACCCTTTTAATGACGCCAGCCGGTGTCATTTCGGCAATTAATTTTAATGAATAGTCACTGTATAGTTACTTTGAGCTCTGCAAACTTATTCCCTGCTAAAGACTATTTAAGAAAAATTAGTAACGATACAAAAATATTACTATGTAGATTTCAAGAATATTTCCAAGATATTTAATTCATTAAATAATCAATAGAACAAATGTAGTATGTTGTGTTTAAATCCCAAATAGGACAAAAAAAAAGGTGATATTTTAAGTAATACAATATTATTAACCGAATTACAATAAAAAAAAAAACTGAAAATAAAAACTACTATTTCTGTAAGCTTTCTCACACTTTCTACGTTTTTTTCAATTTTCATAATTTTATTAAAATAAACTACAGGCAAAATACGAATTTTGTACTCACCAAAAATATTAACAAAAATTACAAGAAATTTTGTCATTTTTCTATTGAAACAATGTTCCTAGTAGAAAACATAAAGCGGAATGATTCAAAATAATGAAATCATAACAACGTAAATTTTTCAGTTTATAATTTACGTCATTTTCTAGTTTTTTCCCAATTTTTATGATAACTACTTGAAAAATCAGAAAACTTCTCAATGTACCATTTAAACCCATAATACAAAAATGAAAAAATAGGATTTTTGGCATTATATTATAAGAGCAATTTTTCTGGTCAAAAAGTAGCTCAAACACAAAAATAAATAAAAAAAAACACAATAGATCCCTTGCTACACGTCAAATCTAAAAAGGTGTAAAAATCTCCAAATTAATATAAAATATTACTACATAATTTTATTTTATTATCACTAATGATATTTTATAATAAACCTCTTGTAAAAGAAAACACACCACAATATACGTTCCTTGCTAATTTCAGGATCTAAAACTAATTTGGAACGTTTATGTTTATATCTTATATAATTAAATACAGTGACACCTTTGAATAGGACGTTTCATTTAAGTGTATCCACTGATTATCTCGGAAAGTATTATGCTTTTTCAGAATTTGTTTTATAGAACATTTAAAAATACAAGCAGCTCTCCAATTTCACGTTTGTGTTATTATAGTTACCCTGATTTTTGGTGGTAAAACCACTACTTACTTTTGATTTTCTTTTGAAAGCTTACAAATTGACGGGGCTTTATGTTTCTATTATTTTAAATTTTTACAATTTATGTTTTCTATCAGACATATTGCTCAAATAAAAAACTCATACTACATGAGATCATTATTGTTGAATTTTTAATCTAGTTGGCGAGTAAGAAGGTTTTTTGATTTTCCGGGTAGTTTCTTTAAAAATTGAGCAAAGCCGAAAAAAAACGCAGAATGATCGGAAAAATTTACGTAGAAATTTGTTTATCATTTTCAATTTTGTTTTTTTTTTTTTTTGGAATTCAGTTAAAAACAATTTAAGAGATTTAGCATTTTGGCAAAAATGTATATTTTCTTTTTCTAGACATTTTTTGAACATTATAACTATTTTTAAACTTTCTTTAGACATATTAAGTGGTGCAGTTTCTGTAAAATGGTTAGACTAAATATAATTTCTTCAAAATTTAACAAGAAGTTAATTTTAAATCGTACATATAGTAAAAAAAAAAAAAAAAAAAAAACAAATTTAGTTAAATATAGTATTTTTAAATAAGAATTTTAATATTAAATCTGATCAAATTTGTCGAAAATCGTAAATATTAAGGCCTTTTAAAAGTTAATTTCAATTTAAAAAATACTAAAACATTGTCAATTTATTGAGATGCTCAATTTCAGCAAAATTTTTTTTTTTTTTGTCAACACTTATAATACAATTGTATATACAGTAGAATGTCGATTATTCGTCCTCCGATTACCCGTCATTATTCTCGCGTTGCAGTAAAATCTTATCGCCTTATATGCGAATTGTTTTATCCGAAACTTTTCGGCAATATCAACTAAATAAGCGATATATACATTTTATGGATGAGATAAAACCAGTTTATTGCGATTGGGAAGTATATTTTCAAATAACTAATAGTTATTGTATAAATATGCATATCATAATAAATTATTGAAAACATAATAAATAATGTGTATGTATGTTTAAAAGTTCGTTTTTCGTTTAACCGTCTTTTCGATTATTCGTCAAGGCTCTGGTTCCGAGACTGACAGTTAATCGAGGTTCTTCTGTGCTAGTATTCCCAACGACGCTGAACTCATTTTTGTATAATATCGCTATTCGTAAAAGTATAATTTTAAAATAATTCTATTATTCACGTTTCTTTAACCAACATTTAATGTGGAATAGAAATAAAAATATATTTGAAATAACTATTGCGTATAACATCAATTATGCAGACAACACATTACACGTGAATACAAAGCGTAGTCTCTTAAAAATAATTTTTGTAGACGGTATTTGCCCCTTAAAATGAATGTTGGTATACCGCAGAATGACATATAAAATTGTTTGGTTGCATCAAAAGTGGTGATAAATAACTGTAGCAAAAAAAATTCTCCAACGTTTGTAAGTTGTATTTACATTTTTATTCGTATACAGATTTGATAAACATGAAATCATGTAAAATACATTACATTGGTAATTCGTTATAATATACCGAATAGAAATGTTGCTCATTTATTTTCTTGCATAGCTTTGTTTTTTGTTACTCGTGAAAGGTCAGACTGGCCTAAGTGTACACCGTCGTCGATCGTTAAAGCTGTGGCCTGCAATAGATTTCGATGTGACCCTTAATCAAATTTTAATACCAAAAATTACTTATGTATATTTTAAGAAAAACAGAGCTAAAACTGGGAGACGGGTGTGCCGCTGTTGTAGGTTGGAAGTTGAGATTCATAAAATTATTAAAACTCTTATAAATAAAAAATATTGTAATATTTTACGACTTGTAATGAACCTTTCGTTAAATGTTCAAGCATTTCTATTAACCTAAAAATTTTATTCACAGAGTACTTACCAAATAAAAATTACGCAAAAACTGTCAAAATTAAAACGACAGTTAAAAATGGCTTAATTATTTTGAAAATTTTACCATTATCCTATATAAGCTTAACTTATAAAGTTTATAAATTACTTTAAAGATTTATAATGTAATATAAATGGTGCTTTGTAAAATGTTTTGATTTTTGCACAATTATGGTTTTACAGCTAAACCAAATTATAAGATCACACCGGGCCCCGCAAAACCTTATGCCGGCACTGTAAATGTTAGTAAAAATTTAGATTACCTTCCATTGATCCCACGTTGATTGCTGTGCCCTTGTTGATGATCCTCATCGAGCAGATCATAATAAATTTTCATACCAGCCTTCCAGCTAATTTTAGCTGATAAGAGGTTTCGTCGTAGATCGGTTGCGAATAATACATTTTCAACAGTGAATGCAAGTATGACGCTCGGTTTTTGCACGTACACAGTCAATGGCAAAGAGTTTGGCAACGTAAATGTTTTGGCCGAACATGTCGCCAATGGAAATTTTGTATACTCGAGGTAACATAGAAAATAATACTAGCAATGACTGACAAAACTAACCATCATCATTAATATTTTGGAGGTCTGTGGTACCGGAGTTAAGTTACTATGTGATCTGGTTTTTCTTCCATGTTGTGGCATTTGTTCTACTGACAGGAACGCGATGTGTTCACTGCATAGAGTAATATAGAACCGGATTTCTAAACAAAGTGCAAACCTATTTCTTTTTCAATATTATCATTTCGCCAAATTTAAAATACTGTAACAATATCAATTATTTTACAAACAACTTTCTAAACACAAATTGCAATTATGAATTAATACAATATACCTAATATTAATTAAAAGTAGTAAAACTACTTGAATTGTAGAATTTTCATAGCTAGTTTTCGACTGCCTTGAGATATCTAACTGTAATAATTTATCTAATGGTGCTAATTGTATTGGACCAACCTGGTTACAAGACAACTAAAATTGAATTTAAACAATTATTATAATATGAATAACAATACAAATATAAAAAAAAGCTGTACTTGGATAATAGAGACAGGTGTAGCCACAGCTGTTGGTAGGAAGTTGGGAAGGTAGAATACAGAAAGAAATCTAATGTATATCTGTAAGGGACGATAAACCCATTGTTAAAAAACGATTCTGAGTGGAGTTCAGTTGATAGTGTTATTTTGTCAACATTATATATGTCATACCATGACAACTTTATTTTTATTCGTTCAATCTTTTTTATTCTAAAAAATTAGGTTTTCCTCATTATCTGGAATATTAATGAGAATTTTAAAAAATAACCTCTGTAAATATCACCTACAAAACTTTTCCTTTCAGAAAAAACGCTATACTTAATAATCGGAGTAAACTTTTTAGTAGAAATTTTTCCCTGGCCGTCTGGTTAAAAGGAAATCTAAAAAATTTGATTTAAATGTTAGGTTTTTCATATTTGGTGGGAGAACAGTTTGTGATAAACGTTATGTTGATAAACGATGAATAAAAATGGTAAAAATTTTATTGTTGTAGCTTTTATAGAAATGGCATTGATGTATTTTGACAATTTCACTATAATATTGTTTACGTGGTCACCTAGGTATTTGTTAAGGTTTGTCTGTTAGATTATGGTTTAATACTATACTGCCTCGATATTATAATTTCGCTTATTTATTGCGTTTTAGAAAATACAAATCGATTGTAATACTATACAGCTAGTAGTTGTGTTATCAATAGAAAATGCATATTATTTATTCGAATGTTTTAAAATCCTAACTTGATTATAATTTAAAAACTGCATGTTGCAATATTATGTTGTAGGTAGATAATTAATTGTACGACGACAAAAAAAAAAAAAAACAATAAAAAACGATTTCGTATATATTAATAACCATTCACTGCAAGCTCCCCCCTCTACCGAAATAATGCAATGTTATTTTGTAATCGTTCAAACTCAAGTAATTATACACCCGTATGCGAAATATATTATTATAATGTTTTACATACTCTATAATGTCCGTTTAAAATAATAATATTATGATATATTATTAAATGCTATTTGTCGTGATTTTCGGTATTGTAAGTAGCGTGCAGATATTATTTACAAGGGGGGGGGGGAGGATGGAAAATATTATCTATAGTGGCAAAACTGGTTTATTATTTTGTGTACATTGTACACTTAATCATAACGGGTGCAGGCTAATATAAATCAACAATATTAATACATAAAATAACAAACAACGACGCTCTGAATTGGCTCGATGAAAACGCGTTCGAGACAAAAATAAACACCCGTGAGTAGTAAAGGTCCTTGTCACTAGAGTCGTAACCACCATCCTCTACACACATAGTGTATTATACAAAATATTATATTCTTTATGAAATATCAAATAATCGACTGTCATAGTATCGCAATATGATGTTATGCGTAATACATACTCCAACATACTCTAATAACTACTCAAAAACACTCTAATTCTTGAGTTTGAGTTCGATGACATTTTACAGATAATTGATAAAAAAAATATGTGTCCATCAACTATGCAAAATATAGATATCTTATTATCTTATCACTTAACTTACCTACAAGTAACGTTGAAGATGTTGAAGAAACCTTTGAAATGGGTATACAATTAAAGTAGGTACTCAATGCGAAATACAGAGTTTTCAAGAGGCAGAAACTCATATCTCGGATTGTATTTACTTCGAAGTTTGTACACCACTAAATATGACTTATAATAGACCTCCTATCGAATTTTAAAGCACTTCTGTTTTATCAAACAATTTTATCAACTGAATAAAAATTACGTAAAAACTTTTAAAATTATAATGTTTATATATCCCTTAAAAATGGCTCAAATGTTATGAAAAATGTAAAACTTCTAGAAAAGATGAATATAAGTTTTCTATCTAAATTTAAAATCTCTGCAAGTATTTTTAACTGAATTGCAACGAAAAAACAAAATTGAAAATAATAAAAGCATTATTTTCGTAAATTGTCCAGTTCTTTCTACTTTGTTTTTTTAGTTTTGCTCAATAATTAAAAAAACTATACGGAAAATCAAAAACCGACTTTCTAACTCACCAACCAAATTAAGAGTTAAATAAAAAAAGGCTCTTATAGTATTTTTATTAGAGTAATATTTATGGTAGAAAACATAAGCCGTACAAATTTTAAATAATGAAATCGTTGCATAGTAATATGAAAAAAATAAAATTTTTCATATTTTTGGCTTTTCTAAATTATTATGAAAAATACTTTAGGTATCAAAAAACGACTTTCTCTGTCAGTGGCTATGTGTTAAAAGGAACAAAATCGATCTCTTGTTATTTATCCACTGGAACTATATTTCTGGTAAAAATATCGTGTATAGAAATTTTAAATATTGAAATTGGTAACGCCGTGGTGCACTGTAAATATTTGCCATTTTACCTATAGTTTTCTTTTAGGTTTTCCCCGATTATTTTAAAAACTTCTAAGAAAAACAAAAATTGTCGTCTTTAGTAAAGCAACTGGACAAAATAACTTTACAGAAAAAATGTTACATCGGAGCAAGATTTCCAATAGACAAAAAAAAAAATCATACAAAAACACTCATCATAGTAATACCAATATATTCCTGTCTATGTGAAATGCCAATATCGGTTTCTAATGATCGTATAAATAATTTCTATGCTAATTAAAAATTAAAGTATACCTATGTATGCATTGAAATATTAATTGATGTAAAAATGTAAACATTATTGAATAAATAATATAATTTGTGAAAACAAAATTTTATAACTTAAACAATTGGTAGTTAATTAATTTATAATTGTGACTTAGTTTTAATACCGTATAGAGGTAGATGGGTATAAAATATAAATTAATGTTTATTGTCACATACACGAAAAATTAGTTCGGCGTCACTGGCTCTACATTCTATAGTAATATAACTGCGCTATAATATTTTAGTGAAGTTGTATCACTCGTGGAATAGTCGTCCAACACATACAATTAAATTTTTTTTATATCAATTTTATTTTAATGATGGCTTATTTACGTGAATTTTGAGTGTACACAGTAGTATTTTCCAATTGATTTACTTAGTTCAGTTGATAACGGCCAATATTTGACGCGGATAAAAATATTCGCTAGATTGAAATCTCCGAGATAATATTTTTTTCCCAAAACACCGGAAATAAAATTCGACCCGCAGAACAAATGGACAATAAAAGAAGCCGATGTACCATGCTGTTTGACTCACATATACGAATATAAAAATAATCTCCCCAAAAAACATTCTTACTCCGATACCACCGGCTATAACAAATAAATGAAAGAGAAATTGCTCGGTTGCCAACTAATCAATTTGACGAAGTATGTTCAAATAAAACTTGGCAAAGATCGGAGGGATTCCGACAGTATTTTCAAGTTGGCAAGGATTGTTTATACAATATCCAGAGACTTTTGTACCATTATTCAATTACAGTAATGGTGACAGTATATATAACGAAAACTCTGAACGGAGTCCAAATACGCAATAACACATACATAAGGTACCTACATAATAACTTTTGTGTTTTTTTAAAAAAATTATATTAGATTTCATTAACAGAAGTGGACTTATTCGAAGAATCCGAAAAAGGTAATGGAAAACACGAAAACAACAATATAATATATACTGGACTCCTATTCCGGGGCTTACGGAAATATAAACATACTCGTATATCCTGTAACGGACAACGAAGACATCATACAATCTACCGAACGAGATCATAATGAAAAGTACTACTGTGGCCAATCGTTGAAACACATTTGACCTAGTTTACATTATTAATAACAAATAAACGGAGGTAATTCGCACGTAGGTGGGTGATCAAATTAGTCTACTCGGGCTATGGACTTAGTTAGGAAATCGAATTTTTACCAAAAAAAAAAAAAAATAACAATAAAGAACATGTTCAAAGTTGGTTGTAGTAACTGTAATAAAAAAAAATTATTCGACTTTGAAAGACATAAAACTTTCAGATTTTTTAATAACACTAAATTTTTAAGTAAATATCCTTTTGAATGAATCGCATATGTGTAATGGCATTGTCGAGTTCTTCATCAGTGACGTGAAGACTTTGAACTCCAGTTTGGAAATAATTGAAGAAAACGTGAAACAAATGCACATTATCGGGACTGATTTTTTTGTATTTATAATACCCAGAAAATAAACTCAAACAAACAAATTTCAAGAGAAGTAAATATATTCGAGGGCTGTACGTAGATTTTTTCTAAAAATTTACCAAGCAAAAAAATTACAGCTATTTATAAAAAAAAAAACCAATTATTAACATTAAAACAGCTATAACTTTTTAACATCAATTTACTAAAATATAGAACTTATTTTAATTGCAAAATAAAAAAAAATCTCATTCGAGTA